CTTGGCCCATTCAATACCTTGCCCCCAGATTCCCTGCATAGGTGTAGTTATTTCCAGCTGTGATTTGCCCCTCTCTCTCTCTCTGCTGACCATGAAAGTTTGGCTGGACCTACATAAAATGTAAATGACAAAATTACAATAACAGTGCATCTTGCACAAGAATGCAAGATAGTGAGTGGGACTATGTGAAATTAAGCAATCCCAGCTGATTTCATCTCCTGTGCTAGTTGCAGCTGCACCCAAAGTCTTACTATGCTAAAGCATTCATAGATAACTGCATCTCCCTATGTGATTCTGATCTGCTTCTTGACACATCCTTCCCTGATTTAAGTCATATTTCTGAAACAGTCAGTTTGGGGTTTTGTAATATCTCTATAAACCACCACTGATTCAGAATTTTTGGGTTCTGTTCCACTGTTAAAACAATTGCCAGAAACAGTGTCCTGTAATCAATGCCACCAAGGTGTCCCATTCAGTCAATCAAGCCCCATCCCAGAACTGATTAAAGTGGAACTTCCTGACTGATCAAAAGCCTGCAAAAGCAAATTTCAGAAACAAACTATGCAAAACAGGATCCAAGAGGCTAGCAATTGTAATATGATGATCCCCTCCCCTACATGTTTTGTTCAGACTTCAATGGTCCAGCTATCCAGAAGGAATGCTTTGAAGCTATATAATTGAAAAGTATAAGAAAGAAACAGGAGTTGCCAGGAAAATGTGCTCCAGCTGAGAAATCACCGCAACATTGTGATCTGCACCCAAGTGATCCCTGTCGGGGTTGGATCCAGGGCCCTGTGAATGCTGTAAAGATTGATATGGCCTCCTGCCTGTATTGGTGAGAGACACTATTGCAGTGTCTCTCACCAATACAATACACTATTGCAGTATACTGGACTTTTGTGATAGCTCGTCTGTTTCAATATTGGGAAGGAGTCTTTTCTGTCACTTTGTCTTAAATAATTAATAATCACAAATAGCTTTATTAAAGCCTTTCTGTCATTCATCCAACCAAGTGCAGGGTCAGTCCTTAACTGCACTAGGTTTGAATCCCATTCTTGACTGGAAGTCTCCAAGCCCACCTACCTGCCTGATTCAGGATGGGAATCCTTCTTCATCCTCCTAGTCAACAGCCCTCATGCAAAGGGGCTGTGTTTGACTTGCATTTACTCCCTGGCAATTGAAGTAGGTGGTTTGTTTCAGTCTGATTTGAGTCAGGGCTTTAATCGGGGTATTGGGATGTCTGTAATACCTATCTCTCTATGCACAGGGATTGTTCGTGATGCTTGTCATGCTCTTCTATGAAGACCTTAGAGCTGTCTTCTTTGTACCTACATGAAGACTCACAATGAATCTGTGCAGAAGGTCAGATTTCCTTCCCCATTTCCTGCATGGTAAACTGAGGAACAGACAGCTAAAGCAGCTGCAGTTTAAACCTCTAGCACAGTGGGAACTGGGCCTGGAAAAAAGTTTTATGGCTAGTGCATTAGATTGGGATTCAGGACATATGAAGTTAGTTTGTGGCTCTGCCACAAACATCTTGGGTGACCTTGGGTAAGTCACTTTATCCTTCCTCCACCAGCTGCACAATGGGGCCAAGGCAGCTTCCTTCCTCCCTCTCCATCTGTTTAAAAGATAATCTTGTGCAGGTCAGGACCCTGTTCCTCTCAGTTTCCACAGCACCCAGAACAATGGGGCCCTGTCCTGAGCTGGGGGCCGCCAAGGAGACAACAATAAATAATAAGGGCTAGATCTCCTGGTTCCCACTGGCCATCTTGCCCACCACCCCCAGTCTCTTGTTGCCTCTGCAGGTATTTCATGTGGAAGAGGCTGCACTGACACTCAATGGAGTTGTCTCGTGAGCACTGAAGCAAAGGGACCCTCTTTGTGGGATGCCTTCTGCCCTGTTATCTCCTGACCTGCTGCATCTCCCATTTCCACCCAACCTCGCCTGCCATGAGATGCTGCTCCTCATTCAAGACCATGACCTGTGACCCTCAAGGTCAGACATTTCCAGTCCCAAACACAGCATCTCCCCAGCCTCCAAACGCCTCGCCTTGGAAGCATCCAACTATTCAAAACCTCCTCCCTCCCCCTCAAAAAGAACACACATTAGTAAAAATAATATATGAGGTGACATTGAGGGGGTGGGGAAGAGACTTTAAAAGGCCTCCATCTTGCATGGATGTGTGCTAAATAGTTCAAGAGGATGCTGCTGGGCAGACAAGTCTTTACACAGGCAATCCGCAAGCTCAAATCCGGGAGGTCCATTTGCCTGCTGATGGGTCAGCCTGGATTAATTTGTTTAGCCCAAAAGGATTGAGAGAGACAAAAGAAATCCACAGGCCTCCCTGAGCCAGGGAGCAGAAGAGTCTGAGAGGCTGGACTGGGCCAATGTTAGCTACCGGCTGAGGACGTGGTTCTTCAGAGAGAGGGGCCTTTCTGCTCCAAGGGCAGGGAGGCTTTGACGCTGCCCAGAGAGGAACCATAAAACCTTCCAGGCAAAGTCCCTGGATAGAGTATGGGGGGAGGGCAAAGAAGTGCAGATCACTTAAATTAAAAGTGGACTTCAGCTATGGGCTTGGGCTTTTTTGTTGTTGTTGTTGCTGCATTTCCGGGAGGGTTGTTTTCTCTGTTTTCCCACCCTCCACTAGCCAAGCTCCTACCAGACCTACAAAATGCACCATTAATTGGAAACCAGCCCCTGGAGCTTTTTTTTCCCCTCCCTTTATGGCTGCTGCTGCTGCTCTGATTTCTTCTGGGGGTTTTTTTCTTCTTTTTTTACTGGCGTGGGCCTAACGATCAAACCACCTTGGGCAGAAGCCCTGCCATGCCAGCGGCACAGGAGAAGGAGAGCAAAAACAACCTGATTGCATTCCTGCCGGGGCTATTGAAGGTGATCTTGGGCTTGCTCTCGTCTCTCCATACCCTGAGGATCCATCCAGCTGGCAACAACGTTCAACTCCAGACGCTCTGAAAACCCTGCACCTAAAGACCAAGTCATGAATCAGCTCCGCTTGCCAGGTTTGAGTGTTTAAATTCATGCTCAACCCTTAGGGATCAGAAAGGGAAAGAAAAGCAAAGAAAGAGAGGATGAAAGTTCCCTTCAGGAGCGCAATGAAACCTCACCCGGGGGCTGAGGTTGTAAAATAATTGTTACCTTGTAGCTTGGGGTCGAAGTGACTTTTACAAGGAAGATTTGGGTTTTCTTAAAAAATGAGAAAAAAGGACCGGGCCCTAGTGTTAAAGACAGGATTTGGTGAGGGAGGTGCCTGCCCTGCTAGTTTATCTACAGTCCAGCCAGCTAGGGTGCACCCAGAAGTGACAATTTTCCCCTCTTTTCCACTGGAGGTGAGATATGTCCTCATCAGTTCCACTCATGTGGGAAAGTCCAGGCTCTTGAGGTGCCCTGAGAACTTTAAGCTGTTGCTGCCCTTTGGCTGCTACAGTTTGGTGAGTGTTTATCAAGTGACTGGCCCATGTGGCACCAATTTCCAAACGCATTTACTGTACTGTCCCCCAGGCTTCAAAGAGGCTCCATTGGCGGCAGTGGGGAGTGGGGGAATAGCCTTCCCTGTAGGGCTTCATTTAAAAAGCATTAAAGGAAATAAGCATATTTAACGAAACAACCAAATCGGCTCCAGCCCCCTGGGCGAGTGGAAGTGAAAGGCGGATCGGAGGAGTTTCTGCGCGGGGCAGGAGTGGGAAGCCACGTGGGAGATTCACATGAAGGGCATAAAATAACTGCGATCCAAAGCGGGATAACAGGCCAGCCGGCCCAAACCCAGCCGTTGCCTATTTTACATTCATTTAAAGATGGTTTGGTGGACAACTGCCGCGTGATGAAACTCTTTAGGGTCTGCTGCGAGGCTGTGATCTGGGGTAGGGGTGATCAGTAGATCTGTCGTGGTTCACAAATGCCTCTAG